AAGGAACAGGATCACTCCACCCTCTTGAGACCAGAGCTCCTCTGATCCTCAAAGAAGGTTCCTTTCTAAGTTTTGGTTCTTGCCACCTGCTGCATCAGCCTCTGTCACCAAGGCCAAAGGGTTGCTTAGGAGCTGAGATGAGAGAGAATGAGCATTAGGAGTTCCTGTTCCTACTCCTTGAGCCCATACTAGAGGGCTTTTCCTGGGGAGCACACTCTCTCTATGAGCCTTAGTGCTCAGTTCTGGGTTTTAGGTGGCACTGCCTTCAGGCTGGCTGTTACTAGAGGGGAAGAAAGTGGTAATTCTGGTTATCTGCATTCCACCGGCTACTATTTCCATTTCAGAGTCCTTGTATGGTGCTGCATGCAGTGTCCAGGTTTTATGTTGAGTTCAGTGGGAGAGAAGGGTGGAGTGATCTCCTTACCTAGAACTGGAACCCCCGAAAGTATTTTAAATAGGGGAATAACATGGTCTGAGTTGCTTTTTACTTTGGTCTTTAAAGTGTATTTTTTAAAAATATACTTTTATTGATTTCAGAGAGGAAGTGAGAGGGAGAGAGAGCTAGAACCATCAATGACGACAGAGAATTATTGATTGGCTACCTCTTGCACGCCCCCTTCTAAGGATCGAGCCCACAACCTGGGCATGTGCCCTTGACTAGAATCGAACCTGGGACCTTTCAGTCTGCAGGCTGACTCTCTGTCTACGGAGCCAGAGTGGCTAGGGTTAAAGTGTATTTTTTAATGGATAATATCTTAAATGCAAAAGTATTACATGTTTAGTGTAGCAAATAACACAATACATAAATGCATAAAGTGAAATCATTTACCCATTCAACACCACCCCCACCAAATTCCCTAAATTAAGCATTTACTTGGTTGGCATGCATTGTATTCTACTTGTGGGCTTGTGTGGGCCAGTGCGCATGCACACACACACACACACACAATTTCTTTCTTACAAAAATAAAATTACATTGTTCTACATTTTTTTTTTTCAGTACACAGATTGATTGATCTCATTCTTTTTTTCTTTTCTTTTTCATGGCATCCTTGCGCAGGGGCCATGCTAATCTTCTCTGTATTGTTCCAGTTTTAGTATATGTGCTGCCAAAGTGAGGACGGCCTCATTCTTTTTAATGGCCGCAGAGTATTCTATGCGGATAGACTACTATTTAACAATGCTCTATTGATACAGATTTAAATTTTCAATTTTGTTTTTGCGATTAGAAATAGTGTTACATAAATAATCTACTTTTTTACCTAATAGAAACACTTGATCAAATTAAGAAAGCTTTCTTCTATTTCAGACTAAGAGCATTTATTTGTTGTTTGTTTTTAATCAGGAGTGGATTTTAATTTTACTATTCCCTTAAGGTATCTATCCAGATGATCCTTTTTTTGTATGATTTGCATTTTAAGAAAGACCCTGATGAGGATGTGGAAGATTGACCTGGGGACAAGGGGAGGCTGGTAGCAGGGACCAGTGACAGCCTCTTAGATGCCAGGTGCTGAAGGCTGGAACTAAGGTGGTGATGGAGAGGCGTTTTGGAGATACAGTCAGCTAGACCTGATGACTTATTTGATAAGGGAAATTAGGAGGAGAGGGTGTGGAGGAGAGTCTGTCAGTCAATTTTGGTGATCATCTCTCGAGTGCTCGTTAGGTGGCTTTGAGTCTTTTGTACCCTATGAGGCCTGTGAGGTATTTCAGCCTGGGATTTCCTGGAAGGCAATGGAAGAAGTTCAAGTGGACCCAGACCCAGGGAGACTGATGGGGGTAAAGTGCAGTAAGTTGTGGGCAGAGAGGCAGAGCCATAGTGGGCTGAGGAGAGGCCTTAACTTACCAGCTTCGTCACCACCACCCACTACCCACCACCTTCAATCTGTATTTGCTTCTAGCTTCAAGTTTGGAGAGTCAGTCATTTGTGATGCTGCCCCCCAGTGATGAAATGGTGACTAATCTGGAAACTCTGACACACAAATGCCTCCATGGGAAGAGCTACTGCCGACGGGTCCTCTGTCTGTATGAACTTTCCAAGGTAGTGCCAAAGGGGGGGGCCTCCACAGGAACCTCCCTCTGAGAGGGAGGGAAGCGTGAAGCTCGAGGGAGATTTTGCACATTGCCAAGTCAGCCCATTAGATGATGATCGTGACCTGGGAGTAGAGCTCTTGTCAGGACACAAATAATTTCTTGGAAATAATGGGGAGGATGCCCACCCAAGTGCCATGGTGACTTGAGTCCTGGCTGCAGCTTAGCCAACCAGAAATTAGAGCCAGACGTTTCACTTCTTTAAACCCTAGTTCTTGATCTATAAATGATTTGACCACGAGAGTCCCTTCTAACCCTAATATCAGGTCTTGCTTCAGGAGCTTTCCTTGTTGGGGGAGCCCCAAATAAGTTTAGAATAAAATAAAGTGGAGTATGATGACCCTAAAGACAGGAGCAGTACAGCCAGGAACTGTTTGTGGCTTTGTGCTGACTGAAGGAGAAAAACAGTAGATGCTAAGTGCAGTGGGAAGAGCACGGGAGACACAGAGTGGAGCAGTAATGCCATTTGCCTGGGGTAAGGTTCAGAGGCTTCCTTGGAAATTGAGGGTTATGCAGCTGTTGTGGGAACAACACGGAAAGGGCTCTTACCTTTTATTCAACTTTCTCACATTTGAAAAACTCAGTGTTCAATACAAGATAAGTCAAGATAAGTAGCTGTGCCTTTGAGTAGCTGATGCTTTTTGAAGACAAGACTCTCTTCCTTGGATCCAGCTCATTGGTGAAGTGGTGGAAAGAACTGGAATACAGTGCTTGCTTCTTTTAAGGTTCCTGCTCATGGCAAGCAGTGCAGCCTGTCCACATCAGAATTCAGAAGGGGCTAGCTTTTTCCTGGCTCCTAACAGTAGCTTTGACTGACTTGTCTTCTTTTCAGGAGTTGGGCTGTTCCTACGCAGATGTTGCTGCTCAGGACGGTGAGGCCATACTCCGAGCAATCTTGGCCTCTCCACAGTCTGACCGATGCAAGCGAGCCCAAGCCTTCATCAGCACTCAGGGCCTGGAGCCAGAGAGGGTGGCTGACCTTGTGGCCGAAGAGGTGACTCGGGAGCTACTGTCCCCATCAGAGGGAGCAGGTACCCTCCCTTCAGGCTTCCTCAGCCTTTCAGACAACTTTCACAAGTACCTAGTGTTAAGGATTTGCATGTTATGCTCATATGTCCTGCATGTTGCCCTCTCAAGTTGCCAGGTTGCACTCATAAGAGGAGAATACATTGCATTTATTTTGTTGTAATCGCTTTTTGTTCATTCATTATTTTACAATTATGCTTTGAGTAGCTGTGCCTTCCTCTGAGCTAATGAACTCCTGCTGTTGTGTCAGCTGACCACTAGGCCAAGAGAAGAGCTGCACTGGGAACTCTTTCAGCATTACTTCCTGGTGCCCAGGCCAGGGCAGCATGGGGCTCTTATCTTTCTCTCAACTGTCTCCAGGTAAACCAGTGCCTTTCCCCATGTCTTTCTGTACAGGACAGAAGCAGATGGTCACCCCAGCAGAAGAAAGCCAGGCATTTCTTCGGCTAACCACTTTGTGTCAAGACCGCACCTTGGTAGGCATAAAGTTATTGGAAAAGATTTCCTCCGTTCCCCATGGGGAATTGTCCTGCAGTAAGTTCTTGGCCATTTTCTCACGTTTTGGGCCCAAGCAAGTCTTCAAGAAGTCTTTTAGAGCTAGTCTTTCCAAAACTCAATTTGGATCCCTCCTGCTCTCACCCCTACTCCTCCAGAATAGTTTATAAGTTCTTGGCAGAAAGCCATAAGTTCATTAAAGAAAGTTTAGAGGAGCCGAAACCGGTTTGGCTCAGTGGATAGAGCGTCGGCCTGCGGACTGAGGGGGTCCCGGGGTCTATTCCGGTCAAGGGCATGTACCTGGGTTGCGGGCACATCTCCAGTGGGAGATGTGCAGGAGGCGGCTGATCGATGTTTCTCTCTCATCGATGTTTCTAACTCTCTATCTCTCTCCCTTCCTCTGTAAAAAATCAGTAAAATATATTTTAAAAAAAAAAAGAAAGTTTAGAGGATATGTATGGAAAAGCAGCCCCAAATTTAAAATCACAAAAACCTTTGACATTTGGCATATTTATCTTATTTCACTCTTAAATTACCTTATAAAGTGGATATTATTGTCCCCACTTTAGGAGACTGAAGCTTAGAGAAGTTGATTAACTACTAAATGGCAGAACTGGTATTTGAACCCAGTCTGTGATTTAAAAGCTCACTCACTTTCCACAATGTCTAGTTCATTACAGGCATTCAGAAATATGTGTCCCTCTGATCTTTTTCTATGCAAATCAATAGGCTTTTATTTTTCAAAAATGACAGTTTTGCATATTGTTTATAATTTATGAATATGCTGACATTAACATCTTTCCATTGAATATTCTCCTATATCATTTTTTAAAACATTAATTTTTTAAAATTTATTTCTTGTTGTGAATCCCCTTCTGAGGATATCCTATATCATATTTAATGGTTACACAGTATTTCTCTTATATGTAATTAAAAATTGTAGACCCTGCCCCAGGTGTGCTCAGTGATTGAAGATCAACCTATGAACCAGGAGGTCACGGTTCAATTTCTGGTCAGGGCACGTGCCTGGGTTGCGGGCTTGATCCCCAGTAGGGGTGTGCAGGAGGCAGCCAATCAACATTTGTCTCACATTGATGTTTCTAACTCTCTATAACTCTCCCTTCCTCTCTGTAAAAAAAATCAATAAAGTATAAAAAAAATTGTAGACCCTATCGTGGGACTTTATATTATTTCCAATTTTCTGTTGTATCCATAGGTGTATGATTTTTGTCCAGTCTCTTCCCGCACCCCCCACTTCCCTTCCCCCCCGAGAATTGTCAGTCCACTCCCTTTCTATGCCCCTGATTCTATTATATTCACCAGTTTATTCTGTTCATCAAATTATTTATTCACTTGATTTTTAGATTCACTTGTTGATAGATATGTATATGTTGTCACTTTGTTTTATCTTTACCTTTTTCTTCTTCCTCTTCTTAAAGAATACCTTTCAGCATTTCATTTAATGCTGGTTTGGTGGTGATGAACTCCTTTAGCTTTTTCTTATCTGTGAAGCTATTTATCTGACCGTCAATTCTGAATGATAGCTTTGCTGGATAAAGTAATCTTGGTTGTAGGTTCTTGGTATTCATCACTTTGAATATTTCTTGCCACTCCCTTCTGGCCTGCAAAGTTCCTGTTGAGAAATCAGTTAAGAGTTATGTGGGCACTCTATTGTAGGTA